AGAATATTGTCCTGATGGAATATTCTGAGACAGCTGAGACGAAAAAAAAAACTTCAACGGATCAAAATTTCCTCTGTTGGGTTACAACTTGAGGACAACCCATGATGAAGAGTTCCTTATTATCTAGGCCGCAGACTACAGCCGAGCCCATCCTTAGGTTTATCCTTATCAATCTTAATCAAAATAAATAAATCTCAAACCAGCTGATGAATGGACCTACAGGCTTTACGGATAACCAATAGTAGATGCTCGACCAAGAGAAATAAGGTTAAAATTACCCCCAGAAGTGTTTGAACAGTGATTCAAAAGCAAGTAATAAAAATTTACTGAACAGAAGGAAAAAAAAGCTTCGCATGTGCCTACAGACTTGTCTTGTGATGCTTGAAATTATGTAATACATGGAAAAAGCTGAACTGACCTCTTTGTTTACCGATCGTTGAATTTGGAAGCATTTTTCAAGATAGAAAAGAACAATACCTTTTATTGCGTAAACTTCAGCAACTAATCGCAGAGCTCGCAAAGTACGAAAAGGTGTATTGGCAAGCTCCATTCCAGAATTTTCGATGTCTTTTAGAGCCTGAAAGCAGAATCAAAATAACTGGGTGTAAATATGATACAAATATAACATTACTGTACCTGTGTGTAGGAGGCGCATGCATAATGTAATTTTGCCAGCAGTAAATGTGCTTCTAACACAGTGCCCTCACTGCGACGTTCCACGGTTTCGTTGAGAAGCATTTCCGCCTCTCGTAACCCATTAGCATAGTCATGACTTGGCCGCAAGACCTCTAAAAAATTCTGTTTTTTAGCAGCTACATTACCACTTTCAACTAAGCATTCCTGCAAGTCAAACTTGAAACAGTAACCGGAGGAATTCGCAACCAAGTATTGCATACCGATCGGTAGAGATGAAAAGTTCACCTCGGGCTAGCTGTGTTCAATGCCGCAAATAGTATAAGACGATTAGCACGCGCATCAGAGGCAAAGTCTATGAACAAATCATGTTGTTGCTAAACCTTCTCCTCTCTTCTAGATTCCACAAGATCTTAACACAGGTCCTCATCCCATTCATCAGCAGCTTGCAAAAAGGTCGAAGCTGGAGTTGGGTGGGTAGGGATGGGGAGGAGGAGTAAACTCATGAGTAGAGAGACAGCGAGGTGATTGAAATTCAAAATTCAAGGATTTATGCCTTGCTTCCGAACTTCCGAAGAAAATTACCCTTATTGAAACAGCCGATTACCACCCCTTAATACTTATTCTGCCAATTACGGATCGCGCACTCTACCCTCCATTATGCATGCAAGCCATGGTGCTTCAATGTGAAAGCGTGGCAGCATCTCCAACAGACATAGTTTTACTTGAAGTTTGAAGAGATAAAAGGGCAAGCAAAACAGGAGATTTGAAGGAGTCAAACTATCCCTTCAACCCCATTATATTGTGAGTGTTTGATTTTTGATACTTCTCGTGCTACTTTCTGCCTACATGCAACAAAAACGTGACAAGCAGCAATTCAAATACCTCCTTGTTGTTCAAGAAACGTTTCTAGTTCCAATTCGGCTTCAACCAGTTCCACCATGTCCTCCATTCCAGAGTGTTTCGACTTCATGGCGTGAAGAAGCTCAGCCAAACGCTTCCAGTTGCCTTAACAACATTGTATACCACGTATTCTTAAAAACTTGAAAAAAAAAATCTACCATCCGCTCGTGCCCGATCAACCTCTGCTTCGAGCCTGCTTCCACGGAGCTTTGTCGTCATTGTTTCTGTTGAAGCCGAGAGGAGCTTCTTCTTCTTCTTCGATTTTCAGAATCGTTGGAGGATTCAGCTAAAGCAAGATTTGCTAGTTTCAGCGCACAAAAGAACACCTTGAATCGCACGATTAGTGAAGAGGCTGGTCGGAACCAAATTCTGCGAGTAGAGCTATCACAAAACTGGGCAGTCAGTATGACAGAGGTGACCATATTGTAATAGTCGCTCAAAGAACTGAGTTCAGACGACCAAAGCTTATGAAAGGGCTTCCATTCTGAATTAATGAGCCATAAGCATGTTCAAGTAAGTTGATGAGGCGGAAATGGCTCAGTCAGAACAGCACATAAATCTTTTGAAATGTGCGGCCCCATGTTAATCAAATTTCCATAAACACGTAGGAAGTTATAATAATCTAATATAGATGGAACCGAAAAAATCACTTAATTCACTTCATTGTCAAATTCAAATGTCCAAACTAAACCCTTTTTGGAGATTCTGCTGACAAACCTGAACGGGACCAATTTCACGGAACAAATCGTACCTACAAACAACCTCGGAAAGGGACGCACATTAGAAAACTCCTAATAGATAATTCACTTCCCAGAAACTTTTCTATAATCACATTTTATCATTTAATCACTGTTGTAGATATATGAAAAGGTCATTTTGCCTTCCTTCTTATGATCACCATGAACAGAACGAATATATATCTTTATGAAAATCCTAAATTTCTCAAAGTGCTGAACAACAAGTAAAAATGAAAAACGCTATGGCCAAAGATAAACTCAATACAAAAGAATAACACAAAGGGCATACAAGGCAAGGAACTTCATCATATCATGAGCTTATGACATTCCTTTGCCGCCTTCCATCTTTTGCAAGTGCTCCACCATGAAGTTACTGGCATCGATCATTCGATTCACACAATTCTGAAGCAACTGTGGATAAACAATTCCAGAACAGCTGCGAATAATTACTGATCGATGGAACAATGGCTAGCTCTATCATTCAACGAACGCAGTCGTTCAAAAAAACCTTAGGCGGGCAGAATGCAGACAGGAAACGCCTTAAGTGGAAGCCTGAGCGGTGTTTCAGTCTTACGATATGGCTGTTAGACAACTAGGGGTAATGCGCAGAAGACATAATCGACTAAAAGTGAGGAAGCTGATGGAAAAATAGGTTGTGAGCCTTCAATGTTCAAAATGTATTGAGGCTTGATAACTTAAGGTGTTTTCAAAGCCCTTGCCTGCAAGCAAGTCGACGTCTTCCCATCAAGTTTACTTGGTGGACGATAGTCGGCAAAACAAACATCCCAACAACGGCCAGTCAGGGTATGGACCTAGACAGTTAAAATAAAAGATGAAACGAATCCAAAAAACCAGCTGGTAATTCCTCTTAGTGCGATAACAAATACCTGTTCTGTGAACTTCTGTCTTTGGGTCTCTGACTGCAGCTGCTGAAGAAATCGTGCCAGTTGCGGATCGGTAGTATCCATTTTCTATGATGGACACTTGAAAAGCGAAACTACACAAAATAAAGGTATTGAAATCAACAAGTGGTCAGATGGATACTGTGGATCTTTCAACCATGCACAAAGACAGTGACAATATCGTTAGTTCATCTTTATTTGACATTAGTGTCACGTGACAAGTTGATATAGCCGTAAATCTAATGATTCCTGAGTAAAGCGGCATGGATCCTAAAATTATTAGTAGATGAACAAGTCCGTAAATTTCTATGACAAACTGCGATCTCAAAAAAATAAAAGTGAGCTAAATCAAAAAGAAATAATACGAACACTTCGAGTGGAATACTCGCACCCATTAGACGAGGAATCCTTCAATGTTCAGATAGGATGCTCCAAAAGCCACTAAAATTCGATTAATTAACAAAGATATAAACTTGAAAAATGTTCAATAATGAAGTGGGCTTCTGATTAACATCCTTATTGGCTCGGAAATGTACTACGTTAAACTGAAACTAGCCATTGAAGGATAATTTCCCAGAAGATGCGAATGACTTCCTTGAAACCGGGTATTTTTTGAAAGCGCCATGATACCAATAACCCGACAACTACGAAACGTAAGAATTGAGCTTGAGGGCGAACGGCGTGTTCCCCTGATTTACTGCGCGTTCGGCATCTGCTGTACTGTGAACTGAAACTATGGCGCCATCTAGAACGGTACTTGGCTAGAACGAAATATGTGGAACCTTCTGATGTAAAAGCAAGAAATCTTGTCAGCTTGGGTAAGTGTAAGTGTAAGCTCAAGTAATAACCAAAGGAATGGCTTCCGAAAAAAAAGAGATCCTTGCATGCCATTTGCACCTATTTATTGAAGAGTCAGGAATTTAAAAAGCATGTAAAATACATGAGGACTGTGTATGATGCATGACGCGATCCGTTGTAAACACGGCGCAGGTGTTTGCTTATCTTCACAACAAGGAGTGGTGCCAAAGTATCAAATGAACGCCTTTGAAAGCAAGAGGGTTTTGTTCGTTTGAGAGGGTTTCAGCATGTGAACTCTGAGTGCACTTGCCAAATCTTACCTCAAAATATGAGAACTCTCAGAAAGAAAAGGAAAAATCAAAAGGAAGTTTGCTAACCTCAAGCGCTATCTCATTAATACTATTGCCAACAACTTACGGGGGCATCTCCTATTAATTCATATAAAACTCGTATAAGACCACAAAAAGGAGGGTTTCGAAATTCCAATACCAAAGTCAAACCAAAAACGATTACTTGCACAAGTTCACGCACCTGCTTCAATTAAGAATCCGAAAATAACGAATGTCCCAATATCTCTTTTGACCTTCTCGGCCGCGGCCTGCTGCAACTCTGAACTCGCCACTGCGCCAGGGAACATCATATTTCTGAAGTTGGTGAAGCTTTTAGAAGGAAAGGAAACAAATGACTGTTTATACAAAAGGGAAGAAAAAAGTAGTAAAGTACTGCATCTGGCAAAAAGAAACCAGTGAATACTGCGTAGAAGGAATTACTGTAGAAAGCCAGCAATTCAAGGCTTTCCTAGAAAAAGTAGAACAGGCTCAAGCCAAGAACATGACAGAAGACACTGCACGCGAACTCAGCTCGCTAGCGTTCTCAAATTGCGTCACTTATAAGACTAACTTATTGTACAGTAAAGGCATTTATACTTCCACAACCCAATCAAAAAAAGTTCAAAGATATAATTCGGTTAACATAAGATATAATTAAGAATACTCAGATAAGCATACCCTGCATGGATTTCCCATTTAACTCCGCTCTGATTAAAATGAAATTCGGGAAATTGGAGCAATTTCCGATCCGTCTTGGTCCGAAATAATAAAAAACAAAGAAAAACTGATAAAGAATTTGATGAGAAGACATCCTACTCGAGAATAATCAAAAATTGAAAATTCAGGAATGTCTTCTGTTTATCAATTTATGGCGCAATTACGGTATAACAAAGCGCAGCTAGTGCATTGCACACTTGAACGAGCACCGTATACAAGCGCGCGAGCTATTACTTTTTGCAAAAACATTTTTATGCCTTATTTACATCTTCACTACAATGCAGAAGATCTACATATCCAGCACGATAGGTGAGCGAGCGAACTGTTCGGAAAATCGATGGCAAGGGCCAATCATCGAACTTCCCACAGATTCCAGTCTTTTTCCACCTAAGTTATGGTAGTTTTCCTTGAACTCTCTAGATCTCAGGCAGAATTTCCTAACGTTATGTATATTCAAAGATGTGGTCGAAATCTGAAATCATCAACGGCACTGCAAGAGTCCCTCCTTCGGCTTCATCTAGGGCCAAACGCGTCCGTTATGAGAAAGCTGAAGCAAGAAATCGAGAAACCTCTCCAGCATCTGGCTCCGAATTCGGTGTGTTACATGCTCACATCTACCACCCTTCACAAGCGGTGGATGCTACCGTTCTTGCCAGTCGGAGGGCAGTCCATGTAATATTGAGGATTTCGAATGACTGATGAAGTATGGAGAATGAATATTGAAATTTTCAGTCCTGCAAACCCGATTAACTTCAAATCGACAAAAATTGAATGTCGTCGGACTATTTCTGCATCTTTGGTCAATCAATGGAGTCGGAATTGTCGACCAATCGAACCGGTCTTGTTGGATGGCACAGCGGAGGTCGAAGTTCTCAATAATGGGGTTTATAACTTGAACTCCTTGATCACCGCAGTCACTGAACACTCAGAGAAAATCAGATTGTTAGTTATCACATTGTCTTTCAAAGGATTCTATACAATATGGACAAATTTTAACTACAAAGACCACGAGCCTTTGCAGAGGAAAACGGAGGATAATCGACTGTCAAAGATCGCTTGTGGCAAGGACTTGACGATTTAGGTCATTTATAAATTACGGCAAGTTCAAGCCTAACAAGGGGTGGAAAAAAGCAAAAGCTCATGAGAGTGTCGCTGCTATCTTTACGTCAATCTTCACTTCTTGGCAATTAAATAATCTGAATAGTTTACCTTGAAGAGCTTTACAGTGAGTCTATAGCGAGCTCGCAAATCGAACTGAACTTGAATTCGGAAACTGCTTTTCCCGAGAAAAATATGGAAAAGTTCAAAAAAAAAAACGCGAATCGCTCGGAGCGCCTATTTCTTCATTCAGTGACGAAGAAATGGATTCTTTAGTCCTGTGACGGCCAATATGTATATAAGACTTTTTTCAACGCTTCTGTCTACACTAGCGAAATGATGAGTTGCATTGGGAGAAACTGGACTTCGATGATTTATTTCCAGGTTTGTTTTGCCTTCTTGTTTATTATGACATATTTTATGCAATCTCGATAGATTTAAGCTACCCGAAATGAGTTGGAGCGAGTGTCAACTACGATGAAAGATACGAGTAAGTCCATACTCTTGAGTTTTGTTAATTCAATTTCAAACACTTCAGTTTCAGTGAACAATGATTGGTGATATAAAATCTGAAGTCGACGTACTACAGAGGGTTATCAAGAAGTCACAATGACATCGCCAATGTCCTGAGGATCTCTTTATCACATACAAAACACATTTAACATCAAATCTGATTATCTCACTACCTTGTTTACTAACAGGTGAACTCTTCCATCAACCCCTTACTTCAGAATCTTCAGGTCTTACCCTTAACTTCCAGTTATCCGAGTAAGAAGACGAATGTAAATAGATCCGATTAATGCGGGATATTTACGCTTTATGTGTATGGTATAAATCTCGCCTTCATTTCCCCTTTCATTATATGTACAATCCAGCTACGCACTCAATATTTTTCATTTCTCTATTTTTATTTCGGTCAGTCGGAGTCCAGTGGTAATCCCAATTCATTCCAGCACTCGGGTATTATTCTAGTTCTCCACTTTAATAATTACCACTTTTTGTGTTCGTCAAAACCTTTTAGTAGTCTGCTAGTAGATTTGGATGGTCCAACCAACACCATCACTAAATGTCTATTCAAGATTCAGCAGTTTTTCCTTAAAATAAATGTCTTATCCATAGTTTTGAAATAATGGTTTACAACAGTAAAGCACATAAACAAAATAAATCACGGAAAATGACAACTGGGTGGTTGTCTCAAGAGCTTACTAGTACAGAAGTGAAAATAAAATGAGATAATGCTTAATGAGAGATAAAAATAATGAGATGACAAATGTAAAATATGTTCATTCAGGTTTTCGAAGGATTGATATGATGAGTACAATAAAGTGCGAATACGGTTGCTATAAGTTATGTCATTAGGTCCTTTCAGAGGCCAGAGTGAGGGTCTGTGAGGGCCTCAAAAATGCATCTACTCGCTTCATTCGGCTACGGAATTGAAACGAATCTGTTTTTTTGGAAGGATAAATAAGTTTTGGCATCCATGGAAAGTACAAAGGAAGGATACAATACAAAGGGAATGTAGCCATTTTACAATGGTAACATGCTAGAGAGGCTTTCTTTGATTGCCATGTACATGGTCACCGAGATAGCGGCAGTAATAAGCAATGAGGGTTTCTTTGGAGGTTACTAATTAGCCTTGGTTGAGATTATTCCTAAATGTTGTATTTGTCTGGTACTCCATTGTATCCAGAGCGTTTCTTGACAATTCCTCTTTCGATCAGGGAATATCCCATTTCTATCATTGCCACGGCTGGATCATTGAATTCCATACCGAGTAAACGTTTCGCCTGGAATGACACAAACTTTTTTAGAAAAGGTTTTCCTTCAGAAGAAACCGACTTTTGAGTTGTCGAAGCGAATCGTGTGGCCGACACGATTCATACAGGCGGCAGCTTCCTTGTCAAAAAACGAATACAACCAGAGCACGAAGTACGGTGCTTGGTAACGAGGTATCCAGAATCCTGAAAAATGGTTAGATGTTATTTCATGTGATAGCGCAAATGGAAGTGGATTCCGAAAATCTCAAAAGAGTGCTGATCAGTTGCTCACTTTGGACTTCATTTTTTTTTGTCAACTGAGAAAAAAGACTTTATGAGAGTCTCAGTGAGAGTGAAAATCAGAAACCCTCGTCCTTGACTGCCATGACTCCAGTGACAAGTTATAAGGAAATCAGTTCTTCATAAAAAAGCAAAGTGCTCGGATCTTCCCTGACATTATATTTGACGCTAGTTGACCGATGGGTTTAACTGGCTCGTGCAATGTCGGACCTCTCCTGTCCAACATTCCGCTCACATATCATTCCACATGCGGTGAACACCTTCGACACATCTGGTGTAGGCCTTGTGATCCCTGTGGCCCTCTCTATGTGGATTGCTTAGCCAACTTATGTGGCTAAGTATAACGCTCCTGCAGTAGCTAGAACAAAACTACTGCGCACCATTTCACTTATCATGGCTCGATAATCGAGAGTTTCATCACATCACAAATCCCACTAACACTATGTTATATACCTACGCTATTGTGGTGTTGGTTTTCGTGCGCGACGTCTCATTCGCCGCGAGCGACTATTCCGTTCCTACTGCACCACACCCCTGATTCTGTTTTATGGGTCTAAATAGTATATAAGAAAAAGAACAACTTCATGGGACTACGATCGGCATCCAAGATGGAAGGCGCTTAAACATACCAGCTCCCTCTACACACAGAACTCAATAAAAAATAATGAACTGCCTAAGCAATCTGAAAAAAAACTATAACATCTCACCTTGACGTCTGAATTCTTTTCCCAGGATTTGTGCGATATCTCGGAACCAAAATGATGGTTGACTCGTGATCTGCAAATGCTCGTATACAAATCATTTCTTGTTCACAGCAGTACTACACCAACTCCCGACAAATCTCTTTACACTAACCAAAATTCGTTCCCCATCGCTTTCTGGGCACTGTAAGGCTAGCAAATGTGCCTTGGCTACATCGCGAACGTCTACACATGCTAAATTCAGTTCAGGAACGGCCGGCATCTCGTGGTTGAGGAATCGCCGCATAAGCTGAAAATATTTGCCGTACAATGGGTGTAGTTCATTTTGCAGGTTCTTTTCATGGTTCATTTGTTCGCTATAACTTTCGAGGAACGACCCTTCCTCTCAAAATTGTGCTAGATATTTTTTCAAAACATACTAACAATTTAAAAGGAAGTTTCGTTCCTAGAACTACATAGAGCGCAAGCATGGAGGCGCACCGCGGCAGTGCAAGTACCTCAGAACACAATTTTTTTGTGGTTAGGGGGAAAGTACCAAAGTAGATATTAACAAAGCNATGGTTCATTTGTTCGCTATAACTTTCGAGGAACGACCCTTCCTCTCAAAATTGTGCTAGATATTTTTTCAAAACATACTAACAATTTAAAAAGAAGTTTCGTTCCTAGAACTACATAGAGTGCAAGCGTGGACGCGCACCGCGGCAGTGCAAGTACCTCAGAACACAATTTTTTTGTGGTTAGGGGGAAAGTACCAAAGTAGATATTAACAAAGCAACATCAAAATAGTGGATACAAGCACCTTGCGGAACATCGCAAATCATAAGTAATCGCAATAATTTCGCTTTGAATGTACAAGTCTGAATTTGATTGTTTAACTGATCTTCCCGAAAAAAGGGTACTCACCGATACACTGGCGCCTTCTTCATCAATTATCAGAGGACCAAGGACCAACGTTGGATTTAAGCACGTCAGTTTAAATCTAAAAGAAACTTTATATTGGTGTACAATTTGGAATGAATGATGAACAAAGAAACTGCCTATGTTTATGAGTAGTTTGAGTTTTTATATGCAAAGTTAGCTTCTAATGATGACTGTATGCATATCGTGGGTGGATAATATATTTATATATTTATTACATGAGCTAAACTCATGTGAAGATGATCAGATTAGCACCGTGATACCAACACACCATAGAAAACACAAGATGAGCTAAGGAGGATAAGGATAAGCTGAGGTAGAGTAGTGTTAAACGGCAATGCTACCACTCGTACGCCAAAAGTATAAAATCAGAGACCAATGGCCAACACCTCAGGTTCGTTCAGTTGATCTTGGTGGATTCTAACAAGGAAAAATCTTCGTGTTCAGATGCTACTCGACTCTGAATGGTATCGAATGCATAAGCGCGGGCGAAAAAGAGATTGATTAGTGCTGAAAACCTTACCCTTCATTTGACTGGGAGGCTGGGATTTGACTTTATCCTACGCATGGAAGGGAGTAGCCAGTTCAAACCCTGATTTAGTTCAATGTGTTTGTCCTCCCAAACTAGGCCACTGCTCACATCGATCATGCAACCTCAGAAAGTAAAACCTAGTTAAGCTGCTAATGCGATGGTTGCGAACACCTACCTCTCCGACATCTATAACCGACAGCTACAATCAGTGAAAAGCTTCAAAAAAGAAAATATCTCCACCAAGCCTACTTCCATCAAAGATACCTTTGACGCCTTTATGAAGGTGAACTGTCAAAACGTACTTGTTGCCATCCTTTATGCTGTTCACGAAATTCCATGCAGCCTTTTCAGCTAGCGTCTTACTTTTTGCATAGTAATCAACCAATGGACTGGAGACGTTTGTCCATGAAGTCTCGTCGAACACTCGATTCTGTGGATGTCCTTCTGGAATTTCGTATATCTGACCTCAAAGATAACAAGTCGGCTCTTTTCCATTTGATTACTTTTCAAACTAATTCTGACTGAAACATTTCTGACTCTTTTCATTAAGAAGCATAGTTANTTCCATCAGCGAAAAGCAATTATTTGTAAGGGTTCTTAGAACCGTTCTTATGGGTAAAAGGTATTTACAAGACCATGTTGATTAATAGACATGCAAGCTCAAAAACAAACCATTAACAGCTGCGCAACTGCTTGTCAGAACAACTTTCTTCACGCTCGGCTCCTTAGCAACGGCTCTGAGAACGTTAAGAGTTCCGGTGACAGCAGTGTCCACGCAACTGGCATCAGCAACTATTGGGAATGGCGACGCAATATGAAGAACGTAGTCACAGCCGCTTACTGCACTGAAAGGAAACAGTCATGTCGACAAGCATTGTGAAGCCCGAAGGTTGTTAGCTAAGAAACTCGACAAAACAGAAGAAGAAGAGTCGCGTTTGTAGAAGGCAAACTAAAACTACACGTACACTTGAGTGCCTGAGCAAAAGTCGTATGTAAGGTGTATAGCTTAACTGTGATGCTTTCTATACACGTCGATGCAGCGAGTGGCTTCAGAGAAAACCGTTTCCTTCATCTCTTTCGAAAATCCATATGAATTCATGGTTGCCCACATTGGGTTCGTCCAGAGAATGCATCGGCTTTCCTATCAGTAGGCAACATAGTCCCACACAACACTGTCAACCACAACAACGTCCTTGTCGACTATTGCAGTCAACATAATATCCGTTTCAAATTCATTCCCGCTTCCGCTCCACGGCATGGTGGCATATATGAAGGTATAGTCAGAATCTTCAAGAAATCCTTCAAAGTAGTAACTTCAAACCGCAAAATGGACTTTGACGAATTCCTCAGCATACCCAAAGAGTGCGAAGCAATTGTGAACACCTGACTCTTACGTACGCCCACAGTGACAGCGACTGGGGTAGTCTCCTTCTACTCGAAGACTTTCTCAGACCTCTCAGACTTCTAGGAGCCCAAGAATAAAAGAAGACGAATCCGAAGATGAATGGAAAATGGATGTAAGAGGTGATGATCTTCAGGTAAGATGGGAGTCTACGCTAAACCTACTGAACACGTTTTGGAAGAAGTGGCATGAGAAGTATCTAACGGGTTCAGAGAGCGATTTCAACAGATGGAAGCTCGTGGCCAGTGGAAACTTGCGAGAATAATCAAGAAATCCGATCTCTAAGCTACTCTCAAACAAGCTGTCGCTCAAACAATAACATGTCCCTTTGAATTCTTATATACACTAGAAATACCAGCACCTAAAAAGGACATAGAAAAGATAGTGAAGAGAGTGCAGTGCCAAGGGAGGATATTCGAAGCCATAAGTTCCCAGGAAGATATCTCGACGATCACATCTCGTGGTAACGAGAGGTCTCAAAAGTAATGCCGTCTAGCCCATCTACACATCACAATAAAGAGGAATCAAAGAACTCATAACGTTTTCTTCATATCGGCCACTGAAGACATGGAATTCAACCATCGGGCTTCATTTTTTTAGGTGTTCACCACTCATTGAATCTACAATCAACTATGTATGGTAGAGTATAAAACCCCACCCACAGAGCGAGGACCACTTATAGTGTGAGATTCTGTTGTTGCATGTTCTCCAAATAAATAAATGACGGGTGAGAATTTGCGTATTAATGTGGGGTTATGCCGTGCCGGAGTTCTGTAAGAGCCGAGTGCCGCACAGAATTTTCGTTTCTGTGCCATCCAAGTCGCGAGTGTTGACCAGCTAGTTTTCTTCTATTCCGCCACGTAAATGTCCTCCTCTGCCTCTTTCTAAGGTGATTACTTACTACTACATTCTGTTTACTCCTACTAAACTTTTACAGCTATCCACTGCAACAGGTGTCTCGAAATGAGAACCTCTCAACTGGACAGTAGTGGAGGACAAGATGAAGTGGAGAAATCATCAACAAGGAAACAATTAGGAACAGGAACACGGTCTGGGTGGCACAGACCTGGAAGATTGTGCTTATTCCGTCGTTACCCTGTGGGAACCAGTATCAGTAAGGGGTTTCTAGTATGTCAAACTGGATCAGTGGAAGCCCTTGTTCCCCGCACAGGAAGACGGTCTGGATTGAAGAGGTTGAGTAGCTTCAAGTGGTTCTAGTAACTTCATTACAAACAAAGACCTTCGGACTCTATCTTGTTGTGGAGATCTTAAGCCAAACCCTCGATGCTTATTGCAGCCAGTATTCGACAATGTAATGGGCTTCGACTAGAGGTAATTTTCAGTGGGACGTTTGATAGGTGTGTTGATATGCTGTTTGTTAGTTCCGCATGAAAAAAAAAAAACTGAAAACGAAAGTAAATCCTCACTGGCAGAAATTCGATGATCCCAAGGACCATCGCAGGTCTATGGTGAAAATTCAATTTACGAAATGAACAGAAGAAAAAACTCAAACGACATTCACTCCAATCCTTTAACCTTAATTATACAAAAGAGAAAAATGAGAACCAGAAAATGAAGGTAGTGGTGTTCACAGAGAGTAATTCTGCAGACATGAATAATGAATTAGTGAGGGGAAAAATTCCCCGCAAGAGCACGTTACAGTAGATCGACCGTCGGTCCTGGAAAAGTTCGACGGTTTTCGGGAAAAGAATCGACTTCCATTTATTCAATTCAAGTGCAGGTGTCCATGCCATATAGAGGTCAATATTTCGGGCTCGAATATTCCTGATACCATCTTTCTTCTTTAATGTTCAAGTACAAGTAACGTCCGTAGCGTGAATGTACGACCTCGGCAGGTAATCTAATGAGTTATCTATGGTAGGATAATAATGTAAAAAGGGCATGGTGTCAAAATTGATCAGTGTTCAATGAGGCGGAAGGATGTAACAACAAAAGAGAGGATGAACTCAATAGTAAATCGAAGTTTGTTGAGTAAATAACCTACCAATTACTTTACTTATAAACCTATTTGCTATAGGTTCTTTTGAAAGACACACGATACAGCAAAATTGTAAAAGTAGAACAAAAAATAATCGAATAGGGTTTTGAACGACATGCCAGCGGAGGGACAACTGACTGAAATACTTTGCACAGAGAGACAACTAGTTAAGAATTGTCGCGCGTCATGACCGTGGTTATCATTTCAGAAAATGAGGGTGTTACGCACACAAAATAAAAAGGATACAGTAAATTCACCTTTTCCAGCAATCTTCCTTTAGCAAGTCTGCTTCCACGAGTTCAAGGCGATCTCCTCGTTGAAGATTCTTGATTGGCGCGACCTGAAGAAAAACCTGTTAAGTTTTTTCACTCATTTTTCCGTGACTGTCACGGTTCAGGCTTGGAGCTTTCTCACCTTTTTCTCATTCTTCAGACTTCTTACAGTACCTCGCACTCGGTACCCGCCATTGAGTAACATTCGCACGCAGTGAGAGGCGATATATCCAGAGGCGCCGGTCACAAGAACCACTGAATAAAACTCAGCTCAGTAATTCGTCAAAGGGCAACACTTTGATCGTTTTCCTTTACATGAGATGTTCCTGAAAAACGGTCGTTTTCACGTCCTCCGTTTGGGGCTGTTTCGAGGAACCTATTCCGAAAGAACATTCAGGTTCCCCGAAATCCCATCATGAATTGATTGTGCCCAAGCAAATCAATAGCCCTTTGGGTAGATTGTTGGGGAAGGCGATCAGGTGTACTGAGGGGTAAAGAAACGTGGCCTTGCATTTTCGTGAGTCATCTCTTTCCGACGTAGAAAAAAATATCTCTGGCAGAATTTGGGTATGGTTTAGAGGCCTTAATTAATCGGCAGAGGCAACGAGCCGAAGGAAGTCATGGAAATTATATGACATAGCCTGCTTAAACGTGGTCTAGAACGCTGCACTCTCATCTCTTTTGAAAGTACGACTATGTGCTGCGGGCATAAACAAAGATTACCAACCGCATACTTCAGAGATTCATCTTATTTGAGTAATGGAATGAATTTAGAAAACAGACGTGATTCCTCCGCGTCAAAAAATTTTTCACAAAAAAAGATATTCATAACAACACGGAGTTTTTAATTTATTATTGGTTATTATTATTAGTTTTCCGATCTTCTCTAAATGTAAGAAGGCTGTTCTGCGATGCTCAATCAACTACTTCAATAATCATGGTTCCGGCGAGAAGGTCGAGGGCTTCCGATTCGAAGCGCCAACCAATGTTAGAAGCGCGGGGAGCTCTCCGGGTGTTTCTGATTGGTTGCCTGCATTGCACTTGAGGAGCATAAAAAGGCGTTAGACGTTCCAGTTACTAGTCGGTTATGCCTTGATTATTCTTTTATCACCTGTTTGAAGCTGTCTACAGCGACGTATTCGCTAAAACGTTCCTATCATACAGGAATATTCTTATGGCTGAAACAAATTCTGAACAACGGGACCAATCAACGAGGCTGAGGAATCGGCCGAAGAGAAGGGATTATTCAATATTCGGCTCAATCGTTGAATTTTTCTATGTGGTCTCTTGCTCAGCGATTCAAGTCGCTGAACTAATCATAGGCATGTATAAAACATCTTCTTTGGCGACGAAAGTGATGACCGTGAAAAGTATGAAATGCGAAAAAAGTAAAGGGAATATTGAGTCATGCAGAGAATCAGTCCCTTTTTCAGGCAGTCGGACTCATATGGTTTGTTTTAAAAAACATCGAAAACCTTAGAAGACATCTTGACCTTTATAGTTTCAAGCAAATCTTCCTTCGATTTCTCAAGTCCCAGCGCGTCAGGTAGGAATAAGCACTTCCCAGACAAAAGTTTTCAAAGATCACAAGAAAACGTTGCTACAACAGCTGGAATCCTGCATTTTTGAGTAGCTCCTATAGCAACCACGAGAACAAGCTCATTAAATATTCGGAAATTAGACTTCGACAAATATACTTCTACAATAATTCTAAACAAAAAAGAATACTATAGTATAGCTTACATGTGTCGTTGTTGTTGTTCTCCATGGCTTAGAAAAGCAGCGACTGGCGAGCGAGGGGGTGAGAACAGGGGGGCGGCGTTTCTCTACTGTACTGTGTTGAGCAGTTTATAAACGTCTCGAACGGGTTCCCTGCTGTGGATACTGGCAGCGTACACGACCAAACGAACGTGTTCGACAAACGGCAATCGTCTATGTCAGTGGCTCTGGAAATAGTGCAAACTGGGTGCAATACTTCAAGGATTGTTTACAATATCAATCCGAGTAATGCTACACTGTAACCGAGAACTATTTAGTAACAGTACAACTTGCAAAAAGAGTTCGATAGCAGTACAGCGGTTTCAATGGCTAGAATGCGCCGTGAGATTGCGTGCTCTTCAATATTACAGATGTGGCTCTCGAAACGGACGATTGCCTAACATCACCCCACTTTGTTGGGCCTTTTATACTGGAGGAGAATATATTTTTACACACTCAATACAGAAAACTGGAAACCAATACGGTGGTCAATCAAATGGCACAAAGGCATGACACATACGAAAAAAAGAGGACAGAAAACGGCGAGGCTGGGCTAGTGTAGTCCTGAGCGTTGTCAAACTAGCATCGCGAAATTATACATGGGGTACTTTGTAGGGTAGTTTTTGCTCATTTGAGGGGGGAGAGGGGGCTATATGGAAGGATTACTAAAGGGCAGAAGAATGACCCAATAACTCCAACAGAATTATTGTGCTTGAGCTTTGGGAGACATAAGTTCGCTTATAATTCTCCACCTTTTTTCCTTCTTTGTCCCTTTTTCGAACTTGTTTAACATTAGAGAGGGGGGGGGGGGGGGGGGNGGAGGGTCCAATTCGGTCGGGTCATGATTCAAGCAGGTCTCACTTATTGAAGCAGATTCGAAGGAGCGTCTCCTTTCCCGAACGCTATATCCTTGGCGGAGCCAAACTTGGAATACTAAGACTTCCTATGATGTAAGTGCATCGCTCAAGCATCTGACAAAATTTTTTCTTCTGAGACAGACACAGACGCTCGAAGGAAGAGTGATGTCACGGAAGGAATTCACACTTGCTTTTTTCTAGTCCATTTTTGTCACACTGCAAGGCAATTTACCGTGGCCAGACTGTTAAAACAAGTTCCGACCTAACTATTGTAGACTGACCTTCAGAGAAAAAAGCGTGTCTCGAGTGTTTTGCACAGTGCCGATGGTTACTTTTGGCACGAGGTTTTTTATACAGTGCCATATCATCCAGGAACCGAATAGGCGAAAGATGACCACAGACGGCAGGATGTAAAGAAATATTGGCTCAGCTCGATTCACAGAAACATCCAAGACCCGTAGCATATATTTATTATCAGCCCAGATTATCTGGATTCAAGGGGTGCCGCCACTACACCGATGGTTTGGCGATCAAATATTGTATCAGGAATCAAATCGTTCTGAATGCGCATGGACTAGCACATGACTCGCGGTGGCCAGCAGCTGTACAAGTCAGTGATACTATCTTTTCAGACGAATTAGGTTGAGGAACCATGTGGGTGAATGGGTGAGTGAGTGAATGAGTAAGGCAGTAATAATGCGCTACTTGACTTAACACAACGTCATCCTAAAGAGTAAATGGGCTTTGGCTTAAGCATCACTCATAGAATTATCTACATCTTCTGAATAGGCAATTTACGCTACACCACCAGCAGAAAGACGAAAGATCGGATTGATTTCGCGGAACCTGTTTTGCAAAAGTTTGATTCGGAGCCTACTATTGCAACGACACCACTACAACCAAAGAACGACTGGTAAGAGAAAAAGTAGCGAATGTCATTACAAATGCAGTATTTCTCTTTCCTCTACAATTTAAAGCCCTTGGTATGAGTTTTTCGAAAGAAAACGTGATTGTGAGAATGGTGACCTGACTGTTTCGTTCAATGGTGATCAAAAGAAGTGATTTACCTGTTTGTTTACACTGGTAACTAATCGAGCTAATCGAAGCTGTCAAAGTATCACGAGTGACACATAAATTTTATTTTTACTAGAAAAAGGAGGTTTACACTTTTTAGTGTTTTCGGCCTGAACAACAAAGAATTCAGGCACCAGTGCGCCGTGCGCGCTTTCTTGAGTTTACCTTGAACATTGAAAACATGACCTGTAGGATCAAACAGTCAAGAAGAAATCAAAAATCCGTCAGGAATTGAAAGAAGTTTGTCCCCTGAGGAACGTTTTCGGGTCAAAACTGGGCGGGTTGATTGAGTGGGGTGTCTCTGCAAGGTTGTTAGACACGCCCACATGTGGACGTTTTTGGCTGCAAAGAACCTTTTCAAAGCATAACAGGAGTCTTTAACTCAATCAATTTTAACGCTGCAGAGAGAGTAACAAATGTCCGTATATGGAGTAATCTACCCAAAAAACCTTCGGTCAACTGATTTGGAATGTGCAATCACATTTAGCTGACATTAAAGAGTTTTCAAATCGTTTGTACTCGTGCACACGTCAGAAAAAAAACTGTGTGAAGGAGAATTCTCACGCTGGTAGGCTTCCCAGACTAACAAGGAAATCAGTTGAGCTCTCCAAACACTCTCTGATACACTATACTTTTCTGGACTTGTTCGTTTCCGCGACAGGGACGAGTGGACACATCTATGGCGTCCGTCTGAGGAAATCGATGATCAACGGGACAAAAGCAGATACTCAGAGAATACTCAACTTTTAGGGGGCCAGTCATTAACACCGGTTTCGGCTGTTCGTTTTTTGAGTAAATTTCGGAACCGGTTATTACACTATTCTCTGCTTATTATGTACTTCGTATTTTGTACTTAACTGCAGATTGAATGTCGCGCTATTTATTTAATTATTAGAGTTTATCTGAGGGTATGCCATATAACACAGAAGCAGAAACTCTGAGGCGATTGCCTTCCTTCAACAACCAAGAAAAGCAAGAAAGACCGAAAAGAGGAAGAGGAAGAAGCATGAAAACAAAACCTGGAGCTGAAAAGGAAAAACACGCCTCACTGTGAAAAAGGGGGAGTGGAAGGGAAGGGGTTAAGGAGAAGTAAAGGGAGAAGAGAAGCATGAAGGACGCATGATGTGATATCAGTGGGATCATACTGAGGCTCTTTCGTGTGCACAGGGCACAGGAAAGCTCCCCCTTTTTCCTTTGGGCAAGAAGCGGAGAAAGGCAGTGGTACTGGGACTTGCCCACAATTTAACGCGGATCAAATAAAATTGACGTAGTTTGAAATGGACTAATTACGGGGTGTCCTTGTAAGACGTCACAATAAATCAAGTTCATGGGAGATTTTCCATGAACGACGATTCCTCGAACACATAAATTAGAATCTCTGGTGTAACGTTCAACCTTTAAAAGAACAGTTGCAAACTCCAAAAATCCACGTAAACATTCCGAGCAAGGCCTCATGATTAGAGCAGGAACAGCTACTGGAGCTTGAAGAGAGACCATGGAACGAGAAGAACAACAAAGACTGGCACTGCTACATGTAGAGGTGTTTGAAACACCACTAAAGAGCCGGGGTCCCGTAAGCACCTTATGAAAATTCATAAATACGTCCTAGTTCAAACCATATTTTAAATTTGACAACGGTATCCCATTCAAACGTATGGGAACAGCCATACCCGAGGAAGTTTTTCCGGATGGTTCAAGGTACAATATGATCATACGTGCATTGCTGAGAATTGCATGACTTGCTGGATTGGGAGAGTTCAAGATGGCGGACAGTTGTTGGATAAGTTATCAAGTTCAATGTTGAAATAGCGATGAAATTGATAATAAGAAAAAAGACAAACTGATGGTCATACTGGCAGAAGACATCTAGCAAGCGAAGAGCGGAAAAATCCAAAACATCAAAGAGACTACCATGTTTTCAAAAACATTCTAGGCTTATTTCTAACGGTAAATTCAAAATCATAGCGTACACAGGCTGACACCTGGGAAAACCTGAGAAAAGCTTTAGGATCACTTTGCTCTTGCTTCCAAAACGTGACTAACAGCTCTTCGTGGCGTTCTGTGGACTTTGGACGTAATGAACACTTCATGTATCACACATTAATCCTTATTCCCTAACCTAAAAACTTTCAGGCTTCGGGTCCTACAAAAACCCATTTTGGTTAAGGTCAACCTATCTCGTCTTTCGTATTATCGAATTCAGCTGTAATCAATTGAGTAATCACAAGCATCCTTCGGCTTTTACAGGACTCAAAGCAGGCGATTTTGCCGGAACGTTAGTCGATGAGAGTCGTTCCCACTGGATCCTATTGGAGCTAAATCCAAAACCCATAGATATCACATCCGGACTGCTAAGGATCTCTCCATTCGTGTGCAGCTGTAGAAGGTAGATCTTCTTATTCGAGCCTATTCGCTCAGAGTTTTTGGCAAATATAAAAAAGCCAAAGCTACGATTACGCTCGGGTGGTGTATTGTACGCGTAGCATCAAGCAGCTATCACACACAAATGGTCCATGGTTCGAGCCCCGGATGGATACCCGCCCAAGTCCTTCGATCCCTTTGGAATACGTTCCTCGCCACTAGACTCGTCTGGGAGGATAAAAGCACTGAAATCTACATCGGCTGACCACCACAAATCATTGTATGGAACACAAACGCATTCAATACACCACTACGTTCTGAATGAAAGTCGAAGGCGGAGGTGCATCCCTTGGACATGACTGATCTATACCAAAGAATTCTATCTTTTTAGGCTTTCCACCCCACTACGACGGAATGCTGATCATACAAGCTGCAAAGTAGGCTCTTCGAGAAACCTCAAAAATTTAAAAGTGATCGATCAATGATTGAAATATCGGTTAAAAATAGATCCAGCAAATTTTTCACATCAGAGAGCATTATGCTTATATTTACATACCATGGCTTCAGAAGACCAGAATCGGAGTCTCTACATAGATGCTATGATGAAGGGTGAAAGACGCAACCGCATCTACCGGCCGCATAAGAAAGGCAAACGTTCGCAGTGACGCCTGAACGAGACTGACCCAACACAAAAACTACATTCGATTATACGTCGTCATGTGTCTTGTTTCAAGGTGGAACCACTGCTGCCTGAAATTCTTGCAAATCTGGAATTCCCTAGTCAAATGTAGAGACCTAAAGCCCAGGAATCGTTCTTTGCTATTCAAGGTACGCTAAGGTTCCATTGAAACAAAAAANAAAAAAGACGTGAGGACACTCCACAGTGAAAGGTGTTCTGAAGCCTTCAATAAGACTGAAGGGCAAACTATCTCGTCACCGATCTTTCTCAAATGTAAACCGACAACCTGTCACATCAGACCGAAGTTCTGCCGTTCCCCGTCGTGAGGGAAGGTTTTTGCAGTTTTTTACAGCATCACATGCACTCTAGAGGCCTTATTTACCATGACCGGCGCTTCTCTTCCCAACACCCTCTTCCAAAAGCATTAATCAAGGTTGAAGCCTGTCAGCCCCGAACTAAACGGAAATATGGGGTAGAATCATGCACAGCTTCATCAGTTGCTCTACATGCATACCTTCAGTGTTTCAAACCGATGCACCGCTATAAGAGAGTATTACACCAAAGACTACTCGAAGCACCATGCGCAAAAGGATTCCTGCCTAGGACCAGAAGGAAGTTCTAAATCAGCACTAACTTGACAGGTAACTCAGCGGACATTGCAAGATCAAGAAGAGGTACATGGCGAAAGATTTCGACTAACTGCAGCCGAATTCTGAGGAAAGTCGTGGCTTGCCATGACAAAATGATTAGTATCAAAGAATAGTACAAGTGCAAAGTTCATTTTTCGCTGAATGTTTATAGTCTGGGCGAAAACAGACGAAGTCTCCGTCAAGCACTACATAAATCTATAACTTGATCAGTATCGGTTGCTCTATATCATATAAGAACAGTTGCGGTGGTGTAGTGGCAAAAGGCGCATTTTCATGCGCATGATCCAAGGACTAAACCTCTGCCGAAATTCTGCTAAGCTAACCGAAATCCAAGCATTCCATTCCTCCGAATCATATAGTTGGTACCTTAAACTCATCTAGTAGGATGAAAGTACTGATTTTTACATCGGCTCACCACTGCACATCATTGTATAGGCCACTTACGCGTTCAAAACACCGCTGCGATTATGAATGGAAGTCGAATGCAGAGGAACATCTCAAAAACGGCATTGATTCATGCCGAAAGACGTCAACTTTTCTCAATGAATTGTTAAGTCTTTGGATGAATCTCTCAGGGTAATTGTGAGACAAATAACAACATTGGCTTTTTGATGACAATGTGATTCACCCGGAACATCGGAACATTGGAAGGAGATTCTATTTAACAACAGCGTATTGCAAAAAAACAGAAAAACTTCTGCAAAAATTCCATTTATCTGGAGTAACAGAAATGATGACTATTCAATGATCGATCAAAGAACAGATGTTCTGCTAAATCAGCAAAACAACTTAAAGGCCGATGCAAATTTAATGAGTTGGAGAGCTGGAAGGAGGACGCAAATCGTTGCAGCGGATACTCCGTCCTCGGATTCCATATCAAGGTCAGCAGATCGATCAGGGAGGTGGGCGAGATGGAATTCCCGAAACTCGTTCGTAGACCGGAACGGGGACGGGGTACCCATGTATAAATATGGGATTCTCCCTGCAACGGCTAAAAGATGCTGAGCGATCATAAAGCAAATCCCACGTTATAACGAACAGGTTTTTCCCGATATTCTTTATAGCTAAGCTTGGAAACACCTTCGGCTTGTTTGGGCGGACAGCATCTGTAGGCTTAGTTGGCAACTGTCATGACTCCACTTACATATGAACATCACTTATCTGAGACATGGACTGGAAGGATCTATCAATATGGATGGCACTGGGAAAGGTGCTCCCGTACAGTTTAGAGGAGTCGAACTCGGGATTGAACAGCATTAATCGAGCTTTCCCCAAGTTTCTTTTCAATGAACAACGCTCAGCTCCTGCCAATTAATGAGAATTGCATTTCCACTAAATATGAGGCACAAGTAAATAGTTTCGTAAGGCCGGTTACATAGGCTATCAGTTCTTGATGTAGGACAATGTCAGCTCAGGCCATCAGGGTAAACATAAGCCTTAAACCAGATTCTTCCAGATTTTCTGGCCAAACTTCGAGAAGGTGGCTCAGTTTCTTCTGCCGCGAATTGTTATGACGTTCTGCGGGAACAAAGTACAAGGACGCCGAATTCAGTTCATACTCACGGCAGGCCAACATGAGCCGTAAAAAGAAGATTTAATTCGGTTGATCGGTAAAAAGGACTAATCTGTTGGTGTCGAACGGCACAACATGGTACGATCTGCTTCCGATCGGACTAAAAAGGGGGATAGCAGGAAGAATGCGCACGAGGATTCTCCAGTAATTTGTAGGGTCATCTGCTGTACTTATCATTGTGCTCGTCTTCCTAGGCGAGTCTAAGATCATCACACCGGTCCAGCAATGGGAAACAGGGCAGATAGTGAGGTAGCTTCGACTCAGGAGGAAGGATGCCCTTATCTCAGAATGTACCGTTCCCAGAGCCTACGCACTTGCGCAACCAGATAAATGAGGACGCGACAATTAAACATCTTGGAGGGCCATGATGTTTGACACCTTATTACAGTAATTGTCCCAAATTAATGTGACTACAAGCTTGGTAGCATTAAGCCCTGCCAATTGCACACAACTAGCACTTCCAAACACTGCGCAACCTTTTTCAAGGACTTTGGTAAGACATAAATAACCAGAACTTGCAAATTGCCAAAAATAGAAAATTAGAACAGTCTCAAAATTCTGTCGTGGTTCCTTGCCCGATTTTACTACTGCTAAAAGTGGATAGTCATGGAGTAACATGTATTACTTACGCAGTGGTACACGGTAGTAGTGGGACTACGGTAGGAATTTGAAACTATTCTGTCGTGTAGACGAGCTAACATAAGAGAGCACAAACAGAACGGAGTTGCCCGACTTTTGTCCCAAGACGCGCCACGCACCTGAATTCTTCTTCTAGTTCGCGAGCGCTCTTGAATGCTTCCATGGCCTGCGTAATGACTTGCTAGAACAAAGTATTTCAATGCTTCCACCCTGATTTGACACCAACGAAACGACCTCTAGAGATGAGTCTTCTAGAGGATTGAGCGGAATTCAGTGAGAATTCGATTCTCTGGCTATAAATCGGCTCTGGCACTACTCATTAACTTTGCTGCCCCCCCAACGCACGGGTAGACTCATCCAATCACTCACCACCAAAATCGTTTATTCAATCGAAAAACCTCATGATGAGGCTTTTGGTAGCGAATATTTGCAAAGACATTCATGAAACATTGTAACTATGTCACTAAATAGGAGTTAACAGTCGCGTATAACCAGATGTATGGCTTGCATGCATGGCCGTTTTCGAGAAAATGAGTCCCAACACGATGCCATGATCTTAGCCAATAGTTCAGGGCAATCCTGAAATCAACCGTCTGAATTGTCAAGACGGCTAGCTGACATTAATGGGAATTGGGCAGACAACCATTATCAAGCTTTTTTTTTCAACGGATTATAGGTACAATTCTCGACGTTGATCGATCCGGTTTGGAATGGGCCACGCTTTCAACTTTCCATCATGCCATAGTGGCGTTTGTTTACATGTTTGATCTGTGCATTCTAGCCCAGCCGATGGGCCAGTCAGTGCTTCCAGCTTCTCAGAGACCGACTGAGAACGAAAACGATGAACAGTTTTGCTGGCCTAGCAGACACTGATCGGGATTTGCTACCCCCTAACGAACCTTGTGGTTTGGTAGCGGTGCTTTTGGCTCATGGAGGGAGTAGGCCCTCAAGTTCGTCGAATATTCGGGAACCGAGAAATTAACTCTTTTTCAACGCGGTATCTTTTGTAAGAGCTCCCCTAGTACTGTAGGTTATTTCGAGCTTTGATAGCTCCAGTAGTATTTGCTAGCAGCTTCGATGACAATTACAGTACTGCATTGGTTCCCGGAAGGTTCGGTCATTCCCCGAGCACTTTATCACCTCATTTAAAAAGTTCAAGAGCTGTTACTTACCTCGGGAATAGGCATTCTGTATTCCGTTTCAAGTATGGCCTGTTTAACAGCACTTGGTGACATTCCAGGATATGGCTCAACTCCATCATTGTACACCTCCCACATCAACACACCTTAACATCATCATATCAAATGGAAACGGTAAGGTTCCTTCTAGGACCGACTTACCAAAAGACCACACATCAGATTTGAGACTGTATTGACCATCCTTGAGCACCTCAGGTGCTTGCCATTTCACGGCAATTTGCATGGTTGGTTTATTGGAAGGTTCGTCGAGATTTTCGCAGAAGGATAAGCCGGATATTTTCACTTGCTGAAATATTTTGCACAATATTTCGAAGTGATCGGAAGTGAAGAGATGAAGTAAGTTTCTGGATCAACAGACAATTACCAAGGAATCGGTGAGTTTGCAGTTTCGAGCCGCAATGTCGCGATGAATACAGTTCGACTGAGCCAGATAGGATAGACCAGCTGCTGCTTCACAGACGAAACGTCTCTTTTCTTTCAGAGGTACATGCCCAGCATTCCGTTGCAGATAGGTTATTAGAGACACTGAAAAGGGTCATGCTGTCACTGAACATCTTAAATTTTCATATCAGCGATTGACAAAAGAAATCATCTTCAGTACTGGCTGGATTGTGGGTCAGGATGTGCCATAAGGATCGCCTAGCCGAAATAAGGCATAGATGCAGCCACCTGCTCTCAGTGAGATGATCTGGCGCATGCTGACACCCACCCTATGCTATCGAGGAACGATCCCGCATAACTCGAAAAGCGTCAAAACTTCCTAACTACCTGAAAACTTACAAACTTACATGAAAAGTACTCCATAACGAGAATAATAGGGCTGTAGTGCAATGCGATGCCATAGGTTTCGCCGACATTCTCATGACGAAGGGAACGTAGCAGACGTGCTTCCCTCATCAGTTGACTTCGAGCTTCTCGAGTACACTGAATTAATTTATCTAATCATTCGCAAGCATAGTAGGGCATTCCATGCACGGCCAGCCAACCATCAATAACCTACCGATCTCCCTATTGTCTTCAGAAATGCTGGACGAGTGATGTTATTCTGAATAAGCTCTCCCACGAACTCCTCGACGCTATGATGTTTGCCTACGCTCTGAATGAGTTGAGGTGGTTACCAGCACGCTATTTTCAACGGATTTTCTATTTCTAATTCTACACATCGAGCGGTCCTCTTTCAAGAACATTCGAGTTGTGAGGAAGGAGGACGTAGGGAGAAAAGAGATCCGTTACAGAGGATCCTTCCTCACTATCATTCCGCTAGCCTTCCCCTGAGACTCAAACGTTCATGGAAGAGGACCATCGCTAAGAAGTTGAACGGAAGAAAGGTCCTATGGGTTACTTGGGTCACAGAAGCTCGACCGGAATTTCCTGATCAGCTGCCTAAACAAAAACGAGGGAAAGTAATAACTAAGACGAAAGTCAGTACCTCTTTAATCACAATATCTTCATGGTTTAACATCCAGTCTTGTCGTGGAATCGGTCGCCTCAATATTGCTTGGGAAGCTTTCGATAATGGTTCGCCACCCTGTCTGGAATCACGTCAATCAGAACCTTGCTATGTCTAGTAGGTCAATCCGCTTGTAGAATATTCTTTCAAGTAGAGAACTCACAAATGTTTCTGTATCAACTCCTCAACGGTCCTGGCACGAACTCCCTCAATGTAAAAATCACCTTGTGGTGATTGGTTGATTACGAAGTGTTTCACAACGTCACCACATCGAACGGATATCGCCGCTATTAGCAACCCTGAATGACTCCAAAATGTCATTAAAAGAAACAATTATGGGTGAAAATATTGAAAACCAGTGGTGGTACTTCTACCCGGATTCCCACTGCAAGTGGCAGTGGTCAACCGGCCCTATCGTGCCCTGGGAACACCAGGAATTAGAACCTTCCTCTTTCTAGCACGTGTCTGCGCGCCACAGGGACGTATTTTCGGGGAGAGTACCCACACCCACTGAGAACGGAGCATTTCCATTAATCTAATCCGAGTCAATTACACTAACTCAAACTAGTAATCATCTACCACTTACCATCACTTATTAATTCTTTTCTCAAAATAAAGTCACCATCTCTTTCGAGAAGATCAGGAATGTCTTCGCTAAAAAACAAACATTTTGCAGTACAGCAGTTGTTCCGACTTTCAACAAGCAAATGTAAACATGAGCGATTTGATAGGATTGGAGAGGACCAAGTTCGGATGAAAATGTGTTGCTGAAAGGCGGAGTACCGATCAGTTCTTCTAAGAATGATCATGCTATTCGGAGGGTTATAGAAAGAAATCCTCGCCCTACAAATTAATCTACAACAGTGAGCTGCGATTGTATTAGCTGGTGAAACTTCGGCAAACTACATTTTTTTCTGGGCCACCACATCACCCCTTAAACCGAGCTCGAGTTGGTGAAGGTGTGAAAAGGAACGACGAGTATAAACGAAGCAGAACAACTGCAGGTCAACGAATTGGTTCAACAGTACTTGAAAGCTGGATCACGGTTCAAAAAACGCGCTTTAATTCGTAGTGAAGTCACTAAGAAATTACTGTGGAGTGCGCCGCACGTAGCATGCGCGACGCGGCGTGACCTCGTCGCCTTGCGCGATAGTTCCGCTCATCTCTTGACTAGTATGAACCGCTACACAGCGCGAACAAAAGCAAAAGTGAAACAATCATCATATTTTCATTGCAACAGTACTGTCAAGCGGTTGTAGACGTTTGAAAGCTGACGAGCGATACAACTGCAACGAGATTTCTCCGAAACTGTTCCTATACTTACTCAACACTCACCCCACAACTTCCGCAATTGCCCGTCATGCACGTGGAAAGTGAGTATCGATGATTCGCCGCAGTAAAGCTACATACGTAACGTATAGTAACGCACATGTTGTTCGTTTCGCAGAATTGCGTACATAATGACACACTGGTGGCGCGACCAAGCGGACCTAAGCCAAACAGCCCGATTTCTTCGATAGTAAAACAGTACTCAAATGTTGACAACAGAAGACCAGAGAATTCGCTTAAGAGCATCAGTTACGACACCCGTCTGACGTATGAAATAGCCTATGTGATGAGTAGAGAAACAGATGGATGCGAAAAGCGATCGGATATGTATGGATCATTCCATGCCTGGGTAATTCGGTCCAGTTTCCCATCATTCACTTAATACTGTCAGTGACCGGCTGCTTTCGAAGGTTGCATCAAAACAGTATCAATCAGCTCGATCAACACCGATAAGTTGGTTTTGGCTAGGACGTGAAGAAGCGCCGCGATCGCGCGATCACAGTTAGAGTATCATTATCGATTCAGCGTGTGCGACGCCCCGCTCACTGCCAATCGATATTGATGTTCTGACTGCGCCGCATTCTGGGCGATTGCAAAACGCGCGTTGGTAATAACGCAAACTCTGAAAGCAGACCTCAAAGCGTTTGAAAGCCTGTCCCAAAAACACCGCCTTCACGCGTCGGGTCGATACCATTGATGGTAAGGTTTCAAAACAAGCTAGTTAAAGAAGTAAAACTGGCTTACTAACAGTGGTATCATTCCATGATAGTAGGAATAACCATGCAAAAATGTTCTATCGATAAGTGTCTGAATAAGAAGTGAATAGAATTCAAAGGTGTGTGGACGATATGCCGTCGTACCTTGTCTGTCAGTGGATCTTCGAATCCTACTGGGCTGAGCATTTCCATAACGAAAACACGTTGACCTGAATGTACTTAGTCACAAGATTAATGAGCTCTTTTGTCAACCGCTTGGCTCAACCTAAAGACTTACCTTTGACCCCGTTCTGGTCAGTCGAGATGTGCCACCACCGAAAAGAGATAGCAAAGTGAAATGAGTCATACCGATCTGTAACTGGTGTTAAGTTGTTTGTTTACTTAGAATTTGATAGTTTTCTAGAATGATACCTTTCTAGAAGAACCTTCAGGAAAATAGTACCGCACCAATGAGCAGTGGTGTAGAGTAGAGGATTCCTTCTACGATAGTCGGGGAAATGAACTTTCCAATGTGAAAGTGAATGTATGGACCAAAAAAAAAATGAAATGAAATGAAAAAATGGAAAGTGTATGCAACGCCAATGTGATGCGAGCCTCTAATTTGGATTTTGAAAGACCGCGAATACAAAAGAGAAAAGTTGCCGTGGAGCGCATTATTTCCTTGGAGCAGAACTTCCTCACGAGATTTGAGCATCCACAGTCGTCTGGCAGAATGAGGCCGTCTATGACGTCAGAACTAATTTTTCTTTTATTTGACGTTGCGGTTACCTCAAACACTCTCGTTTAGATTTAATTTTTCAGGTTGTTGTTTTCCTTTTCATAGACGGGTAGAAAGGAGAAAGTAAGTCTAGAAATTTTAGCTTGTCGGAAGTATCTGGGAGGACATCAAACTACAGGGTGGGCCAAAATTATGATTACACGGACATCACATCCTCGAAAACGAGTACAAAGCTAATGAAGCAAACCAATTTCGAAAAAAGTGTTTGTCACTAATTACATATCAAAATAGTAGTGGGATCTGTTGTTTCTGCTTTCACCCAACCCCAGAGAAGACGATGGACGTCGTTGACGGTGGCACGCAGCTAAGGTCATCGAGTTGATCCCGGCTTTTGGCAAGGCATTTTCGAGATTATTTCACTTCTTGTTTGGGCTAACGGATGCTTCCATCTCAAAGGCTGACCACACTGATTGTGAGACATGCATGGGGTTTGAGTCAGGGCTCCAGAGCGACCGCTGCTCGAAGGTTATGAGGTCAGGGAACCCCTTTTACGAACTTTCTAGACAAATCCTGATCTGCCGTCAGGAGCTTCATCTTGACAATATGTTTGGTTTGAATCGCCACAGTGCCCTATTGCGCATGACGAAATCGAACAGGCCTCCAAATCAACTTTCGTTTCTTAGTTTACAAAAATAATCGGTGCTTTTGCCTCGGGTGTGATGCTCGCAAAGGCCATCGCAGAAAGTCAGTGAGTCTAGCACTGCATCACATCTATTTCTTTCAAATTCATATTGATTTAATCGTCTTGCTTATTGAGCACCTTTTTCACCGTGAACATCTTTTCGTCGTAGGAGAACAGGAATTCCGTACGACATTTTTTTCGGATGCGGCGGGGCAACTTTTGTCAGCCGTCCTTTCTCTCCTCTTTAGCCTGCTTACTGTGGAAACCACTTTCTGATCGTACTAATGCCTTGTTGTGCAGTTGATGCTTCACGATTTCGCGCAGAAAACTTCATGAGATATCCATTCATTCAGCTTTTTTGGGCTAAGAATGAATTCTGCTGCTACGTGGACCTTTGCCCTGCTTCCTTAACGCTCCCTCTAAATATAATCCAAGATATCCTAGGTTTACCACTCCAATTTGTAATTGTTCCCAACACTCGAGAGCGTCTTATGGTTGTATGCACCACCTGCCTTGTTACGCTAATTCGTCTGAAGATGCACCGTGCCAAAAGCGCTTGTAAATGCAAAGCGACCAGTGAATCACGGGGTAATGACGCTTACATTATTTTCAAAATCTACCAAAAGATTAGTAATCAGGATGGTAATAATGTAATCTACCTTGTGAGATGGAAGAAGACGAACAAATTGTCATGAGCTCAGAAAAAATATGCTATGAGCGTCAGCTCGCGCCGCAATCATAAATTTGGCCTTCCCTGTGGTTCGCGGGTTAGTTGGCTTTTTATGGAAAAGCTAGGTATCCAGGAAGCAGGCACCAAAAGCATATCACAGCCAACACACCATAAAAAATACATTTATTTAATAGGAAAAGCTAGGTATCCAGGAAGCAGGCACCAAAAGCATATCACAGCCAACACACCATAAAAAATACATTTATTTAATATCCAAATAAAATATTTGCGTTATATCAACAATTTTCACTATGTACACAATGGCAACAGCTAACAGCTGAGCATTAAAATCGTAATAGCCGTCTTCTTATTCCCATCAACATATTAGGATAAAGTCATACTCAGCAGTTCCTGGTTAGAAATGAAAATAGCGCTCATGAGAGGAGACACAGACGCATCTTCACACGTGATGCGTTCTCTGTCTTCCTGGGTCTCCTCTACTTAAACGCTCTCTCGTCTGTGCGTTGTCGACAACGACCGCCCAAACGCTGAGTATGACAGCAGCCTTAGACGCTAATAATAGTGCTGATGAGAACCACAACGACATTGAGGAGAGACGGAACTCAAATAAAATTATGACTGTCGAGTGAAATGCAAATACTGGAAAGCTCTAGGATGCTCCTGTTAGAGCAGCAGAAAACAATAAATTTCATAATCGAGTGAAATGCAAATACTGGAAAGCTCTAGGATGCTCCTGTTAGAGCAGCAGAAAACAATAAATTTCATAATCAATAACGGTGCTATCCACTGTCGAACTCTACATGAATTATTTACAGTACGCGGAAGACACAGGATGAATAAAATGGAAAAAGGTCAATAATAGTATATAAGGAATCATACAACAAATAACATTATCCATAAGGAACTAGTAATCGTAGTATAGCCATCACGAATGGAAACATCAATCAAATGAACTATCCGGCCAATGATGTGGACCGGTCACAGCTGAATAATGGACAAAGGGCAGAGGGCACGAAAACAGAGAAGTCATGCTATGATATGGGATTGTAAAAGACGTTCCCGTCGCCTCCCAAACTGGTAGCACACACTTAATCCTTTTGCGGCGGGGACCTAACGTTTCTCTGCGTCGCAAATTCAGCCTACTTCACAGACCCCGCCCACTGACTGAGCTTAGTCGCTCAGCAAACGCTATTGAACATCATAATGGAGAGCTAACACAATAAACAATATGAAGGGAAGCACCAAATGATATACAATTGAGGATCGAATCTTCAGGTGAAATGTGCGAATTTGAGCTGTCTTCAAAACTTCAGGAATAGATTTCTGTGTAGCACTAGCATGAAGTGAATATGGGTATGTGTTCGCTACCGACCTGACGGCACACCATTGGCGAGCACATCGACACGAGAATATTCGACAAATGCCTGGAAAGGGGAATTTTGTTGCTATATACTTAGCTGATTATAAATATGGACATCAAATTCGGGGGATAAAGCTCCCAAACAACCCACAATTACCAGTTTGGTCCGAAATTAACATCCCAGACTTAATTATACTAAAAGTTTTTAATTTTTTTTCCGGATTGAGCTGGGAGGATTGGTGGATGCTGTTAGTTTTTTGTTCCTGTATTTCTTACTTGCTGCTGCATTCTGCTACATCCCTTCGCGCGCGACATCTCTCGCCGCGATGCGACAATTTAGTTTCTACTGCACCACAAACTTCACTCACTT